AGAGTTTAAAGAAATTGCATGTGCTAGGTTGTGTCGTAACACGAGAGGGAGAGAGAGAGAAAGCAGTTTCATCGAGAATGCAGATCGCATTGCTCGATCTTTGATAATAGCCATTAACCGATTGGCGGACGTGAGGTGAATCGTTGGACGATCTCGTGCTCGCGGGAAGAATGCCGGCTGGCGAAAACGGAAGAGCGCCGGTTTCGCATAGTTCTCGAAGTGAACAGTGACATTTCGTTGGTGCACGATCGATGAAGTGAAACCTTGACTCGATTCGTCCGACGAAAATTTACGATCTATCCATTAATCTTTATTATAACTTGAATTCCTTGAAATATATTTTTAGAAAAGTTATAGAGGTTGGAGATTTTTATAATAAATTAAATTTTTATGAGTATGATTCAAAGAAATGAAATTTTCTCTTGCCTTCTTACGCGTTATAACGCGTATTTTAGATTTTGTAATTAGATGGAAATCATTATATTTAAATTTTGTGATAAATCAAATCTTTATGAATTTTGTGTATATCATATCTTATCTTTTTGTATAAATATTTGCAGGCCACTTATAATATTCTATCAATTAATAAGTGTTATTTGTTCAGACATTTTGACAGTGAGAATGAATACAAATAATAATATATTTTCATTATTTCTTTTTTAATATAAAATAATTTAGTAATTTCAAATTTCAAATTAAAAAGATCAGATATTTCATTTTGACGCCATTTCTCTGAACGATATCAAATTTTGCAGCAGACAGTTATTAGAGGTAATAAAAGATAAAGTATTAAAGTTTCCAATAGTTACTCTTTAAAAATTAATTGATCATCTCCCCTTACGATAATAATCAAGAAATATTCAACTTCAAGATTGTTTTCTGACAATAAATGTTATCCGTGGCAAATAAGGACAATCTTAAAAAGCTTTCGACAGAAAAATAAAGGATTTAAAAAGTTTCTCGCGAGAAGATAAAACATTCTAAGTTTTGTCTTGAATAAAAATATTGGCATAAAAGTTAAAAAAGCCACGATCGATAGTATCGATGCCAATATTGATAAATATTATGAGTGAAAATTTTTATTTCTAAAAATAATATATTCAAATCTATCTTATAACTTTTAAGTAAAAACAGAGAAAAAATGTGTAACAAAGAAAATAATACAAAATTTCAATTTTCGATTATGTTTTAAAATTATATATATATATATATAGATAGAAAGATGAAAACAGATTATTGAAATGTGAGATTACAAATTAATAAAAATTGTATGTAAAAAACGTAATTAAAAAATTCATTTCAAAATCGATTCTCGATTTCGTACTGTGGTGCAGTAACAACCAATACACACACAGCACGATCCTGGAATCAGTGGAGCATGAACACTAGAATGTTGAGAATTTCATTCCATCCCTAATTTCCCTAATTTTACTCTGACCACTATAAGATTCTTTACATATTTTTAACTCAATGCATTATTACGTATTAAATACCCGCAAAAAAACATATAAAAAAAAATATAAAAAATATAAAATATGATATTATAATTATATATAACATTATATATAAATAATATAAAAAAAAAGATTTACCATTTTTTAAAAAATTATATTGCATAAACTCATTATACTTTGCTCATGCAATCTTTTTTTTTTTAATTATTGTAATTAAACACGTGTGATAAAAATTTAAAACTTCAAAAGTAAACTTCTAAAAACGTTCTGTTTTTAATCCAAATGTTCAAACATTGTTACCATTGGCAACTAGCCTTATGAGTGCATAGACAACAAATTGTAAAATACGCAAAGCACGAGCCAGTAAATGCATTCGAAAGATCTCTCCGTGCAGGGGATCTGTGCAAAGGGCGATCTCGAAAAAAGGCGCTCTCTCGAGCATTCTCCAAGATCGAAATTCTCAAGACCTTTTGTTTGGGAGTGCCGAAGCTGCTCCATTCCAAGACAAAGCTCTCTCCTTCCTTTTTGCACGCGTCTACGTATTTTCCTCCCTGCCTTGCCCTAAACACATGCACGTACACAAACATGTATGTGTATAGAGTGTTCCAGGTTTCTTCTTATAAGCTTTGTTTAAATTCTACATAAAAGAGAGATTAAATGAAAAATATCATATAAAAAAATAAAAAAAAAGTAACTATAAATTCATTAAAGAATATATAATGTTCAATAAAATAGAAAAATAAAAGTATATATTTTTAATATTTATAATATATAATTATATATATATTTATAATATATTGTATAATATTATATAATATTATTAATATATTATTAATATATTATTAATTACAATAAATTGTAAAAATATGAGACAGTATGGATAAAAATATTATTTTTATATAAATATTATTAATTTTATTTTTATATAATATATTATATAATATATCATTAATTACAATAATAAGTTGTAAAAGTATGAAACAGTATAGATAAAAATGTTATTTTTATATAAACTTTAATATAAATTCTACATTATATATTAAAAATCGTAATATCTATAATATATTTTACAAGATGCAACAAATTAAATCTATGATCAATTCAACGTTGGTACATTAATATCAGATATGTGTTATAATAAAGACAGACGACACTCTGAATTGGAATATTTCATTTATCATCATATCTCATTTGTATCATCATTTATCATTATTATATACTATCATCTATTATTTACAACACGTTTCATACTTTTTTTTATCTTTTATCTCATTAATATATATATAAGATTGGTCGATTTTCCATTACGTTTCAATCTTATTTTTATTCGAACAAACCCTTATCGACAAAGTTTGGGGGATAAGAATGAAACCTGAGACATCTCGTTGTCTACGATGACAATTGAACGAGATCTCGGTACAGCCGCTTAGCTCTTTGTACTTGCTTACAACGTACCACGCGTGCCTTTTTCTCACGTCAAAGAACCGGCGAAAGACGCGTGGAAGGAAGATAAATGAATAGCAGAGATAATCAAGGAGTTTAGTTTGGTGAAAGTGGTCGACGAGATCGAAAGACGCTCGAAAATGCTCGAGTTAAGACGAGGAAAATAAATATTAACCCTGAAAGTGATTGATACATTCCATAGTGAAACATCTTTAGAGATGTTCTAAAATAAACACAAAGTTTATATACAAAAAATTCGATTGAGAGTTAGATGTGAGACAGAGCAGAATGTATAAGGAATGATAATATTATTTATTCTAAAAAGAAAACTGTTCATCGAATTAGATTGACATTTCTCTAGAAACGGACAATTAATAGTATTAATAGTATAATATATGAAAATATATTTAAAAATTGTCTTTTCAAAAGTTATTAGAAGATTGAACTTTACATTTTTTTTTCAAACGTGAAAAAAGATTCGAAACAATGCAAAATGAATCGATAATCGGCCTAAGACTTAATCCACATTAAAATCGCTTCAGGTATTTTTCTCAATGGAATAATGAAAATAAAGAAGATGAGTTTAATGTTAAATATATGGTGAATTAGTAATCATTCTATTAAATTGCAGAAATGAATACTAGTTTTTCAGTTTTTAAAAATTTACCACTGCAAAAATTCATTTAAAGTCAATATATACATATTTTGAAACCTCTTATTATATAGGTTGTCATAAAGGAATATTTATATTTTATCTGAGGATTATGATTATATTTGATTATATGCTATTTGATGTTTTGAAAATTGTAATGCAAATTAATTTAAATGAATGTTATACGATTGTAAAGAAATTGCATATTTTCCAATAAATCATATTTTTTGACGTAAAATCAAAAGTCTTTTTTAATGGAAATCAATTTTTTTTATGGATAATATTCAGATAAATTCAGTGATACGTCAGTGAATTATCTGAATGTCTTTTATTTCTTAGTTATTGATGACCAGTTGTGTGACAGCATTTGAAAAATTATATTGGTATTCTTTTATGATTTTTAAAAAAAATTATTGAAAAATATTTTATTTATAAAGTTATAATATATGTGAAGCATCGCTTAGATTTCTATCGCTTAATAATTTTGAAATTATTTATTTGAATCAAATAGAAACAAGATAATTAATTACTTATAAACTTAAAATTTGTAATGAAAATTGTAATGAAAATTAATAGGTTTCTTTAATTTTTTTATAACTATCCTAACATTTATTAATAAAGATATAATATTGATGAGCAAAAAAAAGTTTCTACAAATATTGCAATAAAGAGAAATTATTATATGTGAATGAACATAATAATGTGACTTGTGACGAATGTTATAGTTATTTTACTGATCCATTGACCAAGGATTCTCGGTTGATTTATACTACATATAAATCTTTTGGTTTTATCGTTCACTTTGTCTCAAAGGAATATTTTACATTTTCTTCAATAATTATATATCTATTCTAATTCTATTACATTAATCCTATTATATTATATTAAAATAAATAATATTTTACAGAATTGTTTAATTTTCCATTACTGCAAAAACCTCTACAAATTAAAGTATAGATTTACTTTAAAAATCAAATTATTTGCTTTTCTATAATCTGCGAATTAAGACAATAGCCTATTTTTTAAAATTCCAAACTTACTTCATATAGAAACTTTTATCGCCTTTCAATGTAATTATATCAGAATCTACTAGTGATTCCATTCAACGTTCTTTCCTTTCTTTCGTCTAGAATTGTCTCGAACGTTCGAAAACAAAAGATAACGCAAATTTTCCTTCTTCGAGCTCTTATAATTAGCGTCAAATTTTACTTGAAAACTTCAAAATTTCTGTGATCACAATGATTTTATCTCTTTTCTTAAGTTTCAAGTTATCAAAGTTCTACCGAACGATTATATTCATAGTATTTTATAATGTATAATCTCATAATTATGCAAAAATTAGTACCGCTTCACGGATATTCAAATTGCAAATATCTTACGAGAGAGCCAACGTGAAATACTATGGTACCGCGCAAGATTTAAAGAGAAGAAACTAGTCGAGCTAGACTTACCTGGTGGACAGTTGCACTCCGAAACGTCTCGTTTGATCCGAAACACGCTCGTCTCCAACGCAGACCGCTGCACCTCCAACTGTTCCTGAACTTCCCTCTTCAGCCTCTGGATAAGAACGTCCGGCGTTTCTTGAAGCTGACAACGAGTTTCCAAATTGGCGATCCTCGACTCCAATCCCAGTTCCCTGTACATCAGTAGACCGGACACGGCCAAGCTGGTAATACAGAGGGCGCACATCGCCCAATTGAGTGTTGCACCCTCGGTTCGACAGGAATCCTTGCGGAATTTCCTTGGCATCGATGTCTCGAGGGAGCCTTTTCTCGGCGACGACCAGTCGGTCGCCGTGTCGGACTCCATGTTGTACACAGGATCGACACACGCTCTCGCTTCTATTCGTGCACACGCAACGCGTTAAGCGCGCGTCATAACCCACCCAAAGATCGTCGATACGTCCTGACACGGCAATCACGGATAAACGCGATACAATGGAGAAACCACGCGAGTCTTACAGACTGTGCGGCGTCATCGTCCATCTGGAATGCATCTCGTGCGCCCACTTGCCCGTTATTGCTTACCTCTCTTTCTTAGACTCGTTCCTTCTTCTTCTTCTTCTTTTACCTCGCACGAGAGCACGCGTTCTCCTGTACACTCTCTCTCTTTCTATCTCTCTATTACCTTCAAGGAACGCGCTCGTGGCTCTTTCTCTCCTTTTTTATCCCTCCCTCTCTCCTTAAAGCAATCGAGGTTCCCAGTTTGACCGCACACTGACGTTGGTAAACAACAAACGGTGCCACCAATCAGAACACGAGTGTTCCGCTAAAACGCGCGCTAGTTTTAAATGTTCAAACAGCAATGACAGCGTCCCCCTACCCGACTGTTTCGGAATTAACCACGATCCTATCTAACCACGAGCCAACTTGTTCCTTTAGAAACCTTCTATTTCCGTCTATCTTGCTCTTCGAACGTCTTGTCCTTTCTGTTGCCGTTGCCGGTGCAAATGGAGCATCACCCGGCGCTGTCGCATCGCGATTCCTTCGGCTTTGCGCACTTTCCACACTCTCCTTAATTCGAGATTATCGTTAACGGCGAAAAAGATACGATTACCTCGATCATCGGTATTTGCCCTTCGAACGTCTCGTGGCACACGCTTACATTTAGAGAACGTGAGAAACGAAACCGATAAACAGTGGCAGAACTAATCGTCGAAAAACTATTACCATCGAAGCAACAAGGAATCTCGGATTTCCTGGGATATCGAGTCAATCTAACGACGATTCGTTCGACGCGTATTTCATCGATGATTACGCGTTAAACACAACGAGGCTCGATTTATTGAAACGAACGAAAAGTACCGAAATACCGCGAATACGAAGCACACAGCGTGGCATTCGCAGTACGACTGGATGTGGTGGGGCGACGCTGTGCCGAGGGCCGAGGGTTCGTCGCTTCGGCGATATTCGGCC